ACACACACACACACACACACACACACAAAGAAAAACATGTAGATAGAATAGAAAAAGAAAAAAAAAGAAGATAAATATAGATAAATTAGAATTAAAATAGAATAGAGTGCTAGAGTTAGAGGGTCAAATAAAGATGGAACAGATGTGTTTTTAGTGGTTTCTTGAAGATGGGTAAGGACTCAGCTGCTGGGATTGAGTCGGGCAGGTCACTCCACCACGAGGGAACAGTTAATGTAAAAGTCCTTGAAAGTGAAAAAAAAGTCTATCTTTTTTCTTTTTTCTCTCAAAATTGTGAGTTTGCTGTTTTTTTTTTTTTGGCGGAATCAAGCTTCCATGTAACCTAGTGGTTTAACATTTTATTCTTAATTTCTGAAATCTCATGACGACATGCCGAAAGTCTAGAACTGGAGAAAATCTAAATCAGCTGTGGGACCTGAGCGGTTTTGTGATTGTGTGTGTTTTCAGAGTCGCTGCGGTGGCCCTTTACAGCTTCAGACGAGCGATTTAAAGCTTTACAGCTTCTGCTGTATTCTACGGAGGATTCGATGCCAAAGTCATATTACTGACGATTCCTGTGAAATCACACGATTAAATACTGTACAGTCCACAACTGACGGAAATAAAACATTTTCCTGTATCACGTGTTGTCTTGCTTTTTTTAAACATGCAAAAATGTATGTAGTTATATTATAGTTACTTTTACTATTATGATTTATATTAATATTTGGAATTTACATTTTAGCTTTTTTTTTTAAATCATTACTTTTTGTTACTATTTGTTTAATGTCGTTTTATTTATTTCCAATTAGTAATTTTGGTGCTTCAGCTTTAAATGACAAGTCACTATTTCTAATTTTCATTTACAATTCGTCATCTGATGATGGCGTTAATAAATCATATTTTATATTAGCTTTATTTCAATCAACAAAAATGTTTCGAGTTCATGTGCCTCAGTTTTTGAGTGAATAAAACATTGGTGGATAATATTGTCAATGTTCATAAGCTTTGATTAATACTTTGAAATATTGTAAATACATTTATAAAAATGATAATATATACAATATAAATAAAAAAATGAATTAGAATAAATTAGATTAATCTAAATTAAATTAGATTTATATTTTATATTTACACACACACACACACACAACGACCCGAACACAATAATAAGGGTTAACAAACATTAACACAATTCATTTTTATTTCAAAAACAAGTGTGTATGTTACAGCCGAACATCTATTGGATCATTCTGACTCGTGACAAACGTCAAATAAATAAGAGCCGATATAAAGCAGACAGACGGTTTATAAAATCTGTACAGCAGCTTTGGGTTTCTCTGCAGCTTCACACACCAGACAGAAATCAGCCACTCGCTAGAGTTTAGTATTAATAAATAAATGTGAAAAAATAAATAAGATACATTCCTCTACTATTTTTATGGTTTTTGTACATTTATCAAACGACTGCATTCGCTGTAATTGCCCTGCGAGCGGCTCAGACACACACATATATATATTTCACACATTTTTATATTTTAATATAGAAATATAATATATATATACACCCATCCATAAATTACATTATATATATTATAATTATTTTTTAATCTAGAAATGTATTTTAATATATGAATATAAAATATAAATACATGAAAATTGATGGCCATATACACAGGAATGTCCTTTCCATCCATAACTTGTATTTATATATATATATATATAATACATCTTATATTTATATATCTACCATATATCTATATATTACATTCAAAAAAAGATATAACAAGTCGAGTTGGTTCTGAACGTGGGGAATGTTTAGTCCGTCACGAGGCTTATAAGCGACTAACAACAATCTACAAGTAAAACACCTGAACGTATAGAAACGGAAAACAGACTGGAGCGGTTCGGAAACACGTCTGTGTCGCAAGGCCTCAGAATATGATGCAGATCTCTTTATTGTGGTCCGTATGGATCTCACCAATGTCTGTGAGCAGTCAGAAGATTTGGTTAGATTCTCCATCACGGAACGACGCCGAACTGCTCCACGTCTGTCAAAGTGTCGGACGCTCTGAACAGCATACAAACACTAATAAAGCGGGAGATGTCGAGCGGTTCACAGTACTTGGTTGTTCTTGCGCTGGAGGCCGAAGCTCCAGGAGCCTCTGAAGAGTGAGACGGACGCTAGCGCTCGACGTGTCCGCTGGCGAGTTTAGCGCGAGGGATGGAGAGCTGCTCTCCGCTGGCGTCTGTCGGGAAGCTCACGGAGCCGTCGCTCTTCAGACTCTGGAACTGGTTCTCTCTGGACGGCTCCATGTAGACGAGCGAACTCTTATTCACGTGTTTCTGCAGGATCACCGTCTGCCGGACAAACAGGAGAGAAATACATCATTCCCGCAATATACAGTTTTCACCAGATGACTGGAATAGCTCTATTTGGAAAGAATCGTTCTAGGATGATCAGGGTGACCTTGTTGGGGAGTGCATAAAATAAGCAAATAACAAAAATAAATCATTTGTTGGAGAGTGCAGAAAAATTATTACAAAATATATATATATATTTTTGGGAAAGTGCTAAAAAAGATTTGTGGGGGAGTGCAAAAAAATAAACAAATAAAAAAGTAAACTATTATTTAGGAAAAAAATAAATAAATGATTTTGGAGAGTGCAAAAAATAAATAAATGATTTTGGAGAGTGCAAAAAATAAATAAATGATTTTGGAGAGTGCAAAAAATAAATAAATGATTTTGGAGGGTGCAAAAAATAAATAAATGATTTTGGAGGGTGCAAAAAATAAATAAATGATTTTGGAGGGTGCAAAAAATAAATAAATGATTTTGGAGGGTGCAAAAAATAAATAAATGATTTTGGAGGGTGCAAAAATAAATAAATGATTTTGGAGGGTGCAAAAATAAATAAATGATTTTGGAGGGTGCAAAAAATTAATAAATGATTTTGGAGGGTCCAAAAAATAAAGAAATAAAAAATGACAGTACAAAAAATTAATAAATGATTTTGGAGGGTGCAAAAAATTAATAAATGATTTTGGAGAGTGCAAAAAATAAATAAATGATTTTGGAGGGTGCAAAAAATTATTTTAAATTTTTTTTTGGGGGGGGGAGTGCTAAAAATAAATAAAAAAATTATTTGTTGGAGAGTGCAAAAAAAAAATTAAAATTAAAGAAATTATTTGTTGGAGAGTGCAAAAAAAAAAATTTAAATTAAAGAAAAATTATTTGTTGTGGAGTGCAAAAAATATGTTGAAGAATGCAAAAAAAAATTATTTGTTGAGTGCAAAAAATAAAAAAAATAAAAATTATTATTTTTTTAAAGTGCAAAAAAAAATTAAAAATGTGTGGGGGAGTGCAAAAAAATAAATAATTTGTTGGGGAGTGCAAAAATTCATTAAAAAAAAGATTTGCTGGGGAGCGCAAAAAAACTATTTTTTGGGATGTGCAAAAATAAATAAAAATAAAATAGTGATTTGAGGGGGAGTGCAAAAAATATGTTGAAGAATGCAAAAAAAAAAAGATTTGTTGAGGAGTGCAAAAAAACTAGATTTTTGGGATGTGCAAAAATAAAATAGTGATTTGAGGGGGAGTGCAAAAAATATAAAAATATATTAAAACCTTTATATGTATTTATAAAACATATTAAAACCTTAAAAAGTCAACATGAAATCAAAACAGACAATCTTTAATTGATATTCCTGCTCTAACTGTATCATCACTGATGCTACACTAAAAAACAATTGTTTTTTCTCATTAAATATTGTTTTGTTCAGAAATGCGTCGCATGACCGTTAAAAAGGGCTGCAAATGAAGTTCATGTCGACATCGAAAGCACATGTTTTGCTAGAGTGTTTTTTGTAATTATGTTGATATATGATACTCATATGCTGGAATAATTTATTTCATGACACATTCTCTTCTTCTGAGACTTTTGGCAGACGATGCATTCCTTCAATCTTATGACATCGTTAGTTCTTGGGTCGCAGGTTCTGAGTCGCTCACCTTCTTGGGCGCGCCGTAGCAGGACATCTGAACCCAGTTCTTCCTGCGGTTCACCAGGATGGCCACCAGGAGGAAGATGACCACAGCCAGCAGGATTCCCGCCAGAATCCAGGCCGCTGATTGGTAGATGAGCGTCATCTCCGTCTGGCTCGGGACGTCCCGCGAGAGACCTTCACCATCTACACGAGAGAACGTTTGATATCAGAAACCATCGATCCTCGCGCCGCTGCGGTTTCATTGGCTGCTGCGTTCATATTGTTCTCAGATCAGTGAGACGAACGCAAGCCAACACTTACTAAACATTAATCATAAAATCATAAAATTAAAATAATTATAAAAAAAATAAATAAAAAAAATCATCAGAAACAAATTGAAATAAAACACTAAAAAAAGTATTAATTTTAAAACAATAAAATAAAACACTTACTAAAAATTAATCATAAAAATGTAAATCTAAACTAAATAAATACATAAATAAACAACTTTAAAATAAAGGCAATTAAAAACTTACAAAAAATCAATCATAAAAATATAAAACTAAAATATTTTTCATAATATATAATTGTGAAACAAAAACAAAAAATATATAAAAAGCTAAAAAAAAATTTAAACAGTAAAAACAAACACTATAATATAAAAATAAAAATAATAAACCAGTAAATAATAAAAATAATCATAGAAATGTAAATTAAAAACAAAGCATTAAAAATTAAACAACTAAATTAAAAAAATAAAACAGAAAAAAATCAATAATATTTTTCAATATATAATAAAAAAAAAAATTGGAATTAAAATGAGATCAGCTGGTGTCTCAGATCAGTGAGACGGCTCATTATCAGACTGTAATTACCGGTGACGGCGAGGACCTCCGGAGCGGCGGTGATCCGGCTCTCGGTGACGGCCGTGGACAGCATTACCGGCACCGATGTGCTCGTGATCTCTGCAAACACACAAAACCATCCAGAGCTCATCAATCTCTCAAACATCATCTAAACGTGCCATTCAATCAGCTCATTTCTCATGGAGAAAATCAAGCTTCACAATCAAAACAAAGCAGAGACGAAACACGGAGGCTTTATCCCTGCGAAGGACAAGCTGACGGAGTGATATTCGCTTGTTATTTCCTCACATTGAGAGGAACGTCGATATCGCAGGAATGTTTGCCATCGAGGCTTCAACACCACAGATCAACGTCAGCGTTTGACTTTGATTATTAAAGCCAGCGAATGCTTGTGTCTGAAACATTTCTTTTTATAAAACAGATTTCAACTCTGACTGGCATGTCATGCATTGTTGCATGTAACATAGCTGATTTACAAACATCAGCTAATAAATATGAATGTAAAATTTAAATAAATAATAAAAAAATAATTAATTAAAATAAAAATGATTAATTATTAATGAGTTTAAAATAAATAGATAAATAAATAAATAATTTTAAAAAATCCCAGAAATCAACACACTAAAAATTTTAATAAAATATGTGTATAATAAAAATATAATAAATATAATAACAAATAAAACACTGAAAGTTGAATTATAAAAAAGAAATAATAAAAAAAAAATTACATTTGTTTAAATTAAAATTAAAATGTATTATTTTAAAAAAATAATTTCATAATTGTTTAAACACTTACTAAAATTAATTATTAAAATATAACATTAAAATGAATTAATGAATTAAAAAAAGCAATCAAAAATGACTAAATATTTAATTATAAAAATGTACAATTGAATAAATAATACTTATAAAACACATATTCAAAATTAAACAATATATATATATATATATAAATATAATAAATTATAAATGTTATGTTGTATAACAGTTAATAAAAATAAATAAATGTAAAATTAAAATAATAAAATTGTATTTACATTTAATTTAAATTAAAATGACAAATAAAACACTAAAAATGAATTACATCATAATAATGTAAAACTAAAATAAATAAATAAATAATCGATCAAATTAAAACACTTACTAAAAATGAATTAAATCATAAAATTAAAAGTTAAATGAATAACACTGAATAAAAACACTGTTTAATTAAAAAAAAATTCAGAATGATTTATTCTGATTATTAAATGGACCATCTCACATTGCCGAGTCTGTGCGTTACTGATTCTACTCCACTTTTTACTGTTCCAACACTTTTTCCCATGGTAAAAGCACTGTCATTAGTGTGTTTGTGTATGTAGACACACGTACCCAGCATGCATTGCGGGCAGCACTGGCCCTTCCGCAGCACAGGGACCCTGCAGTCGGCAGCCGGACACTGCTGCGAGAAGCACTGGACGCTCCCATTACGGCAGACGCAGCTGCTGCAGGCGTTCGGCTTCCACGAATCACCGGCCTGCAGGATTTCTCCAGAGCTGGAGACGCAGAACTCGGGACGCAGCGGCTCCAGTTTGTCTTCTGTGGACAAAAACACAGAAATATGTCACGATATTACTGTACGTCATCCTGCTTTCACTGCATTAACCGTAGGCTAATGTGCGTTTAATGAGCCGACGGAGGGACGGCACATGTGTTCCGTGGCCCGCGGGTCACGTGTAAAAGCGTCCAGTGGGTTTATTGATAGAAACTGGCCTCAGGAGAAGCTGTGTGTGTCTGAAGAAGCACATGTTCATAAAACAACCGTCATCTGGGCACGAAACTAACCAGTGACAGGTGAGGAATCAACTCCTGTGCTCTTTTTATTACGTTTACTTTTCTGCAACAATATATACGTTTTTTCGATTCTAGTTCTTTAAAAACAATCAAAAAGATCATTTTATTTAAAAAATAATAAACAATTATTATTAAATAATAATTGAATTATAAAAGTAAAATAAATAATTTAAAAATAAAAAAATCTAAATAAAACACTAAAAATGATTAATATAAGAATGTCAAATTAAAATAAAAAATTATTTTCAATTCACGTATATTTTTATAGAGCTTTTTATGATACAAATCGTTGCAAAGCAGCTTCACAGAAACGTATATCGAAAATAGCAGAGGACCTAGGACAGATCCTTGTGGCACTCCATATTTTACTGGTGATAATTGAGATGACTCCCCATTTAAATGAACAATGTGGTAGCGATCGGACAGGTAGGATCTAAACCATCTTAAAGCCTGCCCTTGGATACCTGTATAGTTTTGTAATCGATCTATGAGTATGTCATGATCTATAGTATCGAATGCAGCACTAAGATCAAGTAAAACTAGCAATGAGACACAGCCTTGGTCTGACGCAAGAAGCAAGTCATTTGTAATTTTAACAAGTGCAGTTTCTGTGCTATGGTGGGGCCTGAAACCTGACTGAAATTCTTCATAGAGATAATTTTTTTGCAGGAAGGAGCACAATTGAGCAGACACAACTTTTTCTAAAATTTTAGACATAAAAGGAAGATTTGAGATGGGTCTGTAATTAGCCAGTTCACTAGGATCTAGTTGTGGTTTCTTAATAAGAGGCTTAATGACCGCCAGCTTGAAGGGTTTTGGGAGGTAACGAGTTAATAATATTGAGAAGCGAAAAAACAAAACAAAACAAAAATATAAACAATCAAAATAAAGCACTAAAATTTATGAACTTCATTAACAATTACAAATTGTAATAAAATAATTAATCAAATTAATTTATTAAATGATTTATTATTAATTAAAAAAAACTATCAAATTAAAACATTTATTTAATTTTATTTGTATTTTGTTTTTATTTCTCAATTATTTATTACAATTTTAAATATTTATGATTTTATTAATTTTTAGTAAGTGTTTTATTTTGGTTTGTTCTTATTTTTAAAATTATTTATGTTAATTTGACATGTTTTATAATTTATTTACTTTGTAGTTAGTGATAAAAGACAAAATAAATAAAAAACTAAACTAATAAAATAAAATAAAAAATAAAATACTTTTTTAGTTAAATTAAATAAAAATAAATAATTAAAATAAATAGCGTCGTAAAGATCCAAAATTAAAATAAATATTTTAAAATCAAATAAAAAATAAGTGCACTATGAAAAATGTTCTAAAAATGTTTTACTTAGTTTTTATTATTTTAATTAATAACAAATAATTTAATAAATTAATAATAAACTATGTAATCATTTAAAATAAAAACAAATAAAAAAACACTTACTAAAAACAGTTATAATCATAAGAATGTAAAATTAAAATAATAAAAAATTTTTTTTTTAACAAATTAATAATGTTTTTATAATTGAATCATAAGAACCGTGTGTATGAGTGTGTGTGTGTGTGTCTGTGAGAGTTTGTGTGTGTGAGCAAGTGTGTGTGAGTGAGTGAGTGTGTGAGCGAGTGAGTGAGTGTGTGTGTCTGTGAGAGTTTGTGTGTGTGAGTGAGTGTGTGTGAGTGAGTGAGTGAGTGTGTGTGTCTGTGAGAGTTTGTGTGTGTGAGTGAGTGAGTGAGTGACTGTGCGAGTGAGTGAGTGAGTGAGTGTGAGTGTGTGTGTGTGTGTGTGTGTGTGTGTGTGTGAGTGAGTGTGTGAGTGAGTGTCTGTGTGTGTGTGTGTGTGTGCGCGAGTGAGCGTGTGAGTGTGACTGTGCGAGTGAGTGAGTGAGTGAGTGTGAGTGTGTGTGTGTGTGTGTGTGTGTGAGTG